CGCCCAGCGTCCCCCCCCCACGCGGCCCCGAGGACGCGGGTTCGCGTCCCGCCCCGGGCGGGACACGGCGGAGGCGTGGGGGTGTGGAGGGGTGACTATTCTGTGTCCCCCCACAGAGTACCCGCGAAACAACCCCCCAGAGCATCCCCCTGAACTGCCCCTCAAAATATCCCTATAGTGTCCCCCATGGCATCCCCGAACCCCCCAAAGCATCATCTTTTAACATCTCCCCACAGCTTCCCCCCCAAAATCTCCTCCTATAGCATCACCCCAAAGCACCTCCCCACCCCCTATAACATTTCCCTTAATGACCCCCAAAAATGTCCCTCAAAGCATCTCCCTATAGCATCCCCCCACCAATCCCTCCTTATAGCATCTCCCTATAGCCTCCTCCCAAAAAGTCCCCCCAAAACACCTCCCCACAGCATCCCCCATAACGTTCCCCCCCCCCAAAGTGTCCCGTTTCCCCCCAAAAGCATCTCCATCCCGCTGGGGCAGGATGCTTGGAGGCCTTGACCCCTTTTTTGGGGCCGGGGAGCCTCTTCGGGGTGGCTCACTGGGGTGATGAGTCTGGCAGGTCTCAGAAAGGGGGGTGGGAAGCGATTCCGGGCATCCTGCCCCGCATCCCTGCTGCCCTATTCAGTGATGCCTGGGGAACCGGCGCTAATTGGCGCCGGAGCTGGAACGAAGCCTGGATGCGACTGCAGCTTCGTTTTAAAGCTTGGGAAGAGAAAAAAAGGGAGGGGGGATCTCCACTGGGGGGGGGTTATCCAGCTTTGCAAAATATTCCCCCCCCCAAAAAAAACCACCTCAACTTAATGGGATGCTCAGAGCCCTAAATCCCATGCGATTGCCCGCAGAGAGGATGGCAAACCTTAGCCAGCCTTGATGGGGTGATGCCCCCGACCTCGAGCATCTCCTCGGGACTGGGAAAACATGGAAATGGGGGGTTGTAATGGGGGGAAAATTGCAAATCTGAGTGTTTTTTCCCAAAATAAATGTCAGCTTGAGGCCGCTGGGGAGGCGAAAGCCACCAGGACACAGGGCTCTATTGAGAAAGGAAAGAACAAAAAAAAAAAAGGGAAAAAAAAAAAAAAATTAGCCGGGCAGAGCTCCAAGCTGGGAGCGCCGAGGGACGTGCCCGGAGTGGGGAAGCGGAGAGATTCGGGGGGCCAGCCTGCCCGAAATGTGGGGAGCGCCGGCCGCCCCGCGGGGCCACCCTGCTCCCCCCTGCTTGCTGCCGGTGACCTGGCTCCTGGCGCTGCATGCAGGTAGGGGTTTTTCCCATTTTTCCATGGTTTTTTCCCATTTTTCCATGGTTTTGGGGGGTATCTGGATGGAGGATGTGGTGGGGGAGTGAGGAGGGTGGTGGTACCCCATGAAGGGGGGGGTTGGGAGGGGTTGCTGTGCCGTCGAGCATCCCCTCTGCTTGGGGGAGGAAAAAATGGGGGGGAAATTGGGAATAAAAACTGGGAAAAACACTTTTCCAGAGCCAAGTGGGTCCTGCTGGGGGGGTGGATCCGGCACCGCGCCCCCGCCCTGAGCTTCTCCCCAGCTTTTCGTCTTCCCCCAAAACCCCTTTTTTGTTCATTTTTCAGCATCCTCAAATATATTTTCTTACCCATCCTTCAGCTTTCCCAAAAAGCCCATTTTTCACCCCATTTCTAGGTTTGCTCCCATTTGCCCCATCCCCCTACAACCCTTGTTGCCTCCATCATTTATTCCCTAAATACCCACATTTGGGTGTTCAACGAACCCCAAACTGCCCCATCCCAGGTCCCCCAGTGCGGGAAAATCACCTGCAGTGATTTTTTTTACCATTCTACCAAAGTTTGGACCCAAAACCAGCCCTGGGGAGGCCCTGTTTCCTTCCAGATGAGCTGAGGATAAAAAGTAAAGCCAGTCAGGTTTGCCTGCCAACGGCTTTGATTTGCACCCTAAAAAAGCACCAGGGCTGCAGCCAAGGCACCCCAAAACCACTGCTGTCCTTTTTCGAAAGAAAAGGGGATTTATTCCGTGAAATAGTGGGAAAATGAGAATTTGGGGTGGCTTTTTTTCAGCACAAGCCAGCCAGAAAGGGTGGGAGATCTCCATCCCTAAGCCAGGGATGCTGTAGGAGATGGGGATATTGCCTGATTTAATAATTAACTCCCGAATTTATTAGCCGGGGCCAAGAAAAAATCAGCAATTGGGTTTAAAAAAGGGAAGAAACAGTTAAAGAGCAGCATTTGGGGGATGCTTGGGGTGCAAGGAAGCATTAAAATCCACATCCCTATCCCATGCCTGGGTTTTTCCTATGGGGCTCCCTGAAATTTTTTGGGTGGGGGCATGTTTTCAGGGCCGAGCTCTGCACTGCCGGGGAGGACGGACGGACGGATGCTGCATACCAATAGGTCCCATGACTTTTCGGGCTTGTTTAAAGCCTTTCTTGCGCCTGCTTCACTCTCCCCAGCTGGTTTTCCCACTCTCCCCCCCTCTTCAATATGGGGTTTGTTCGCCGTCGGATGATGGCATCCAGATGGGGGTTCACGGATGGGACCCCTGGGCTGGCGGGGGGGGGGAGGGATGAGCTACAGTGTTGCAGGCAGAGAGGCTGTTTTGGGGAGTTCCCCCCCTCCAAATCAGTTTTTTCCACTTTTTCCCTGCCCTTTTTTGGCTTAAAACCAGCAATGAGGAGCAATGCACATGCACCGACCCCCCGTGATGCAGTTTTGCATTGAGGGGGGGTGGTGTTGGCTGGACCAGAGCACCCAACGGGGCTGGGAGGTAGGATACAAAAATCTTCCCCCGTGCAATTTCTGGGGTGATGCACGCATCTTTGCAAAGCATTGCATTGACCCAGGCACGGGAGGGCTCCCACTCGCATGCAATTGGGGGAGCGGATGCATGCATCTTTGCAAAGGGTTGCATCAACCCGGCTGCAGCAGTGCTTCCACCATTGATGCAATTTCGGGGAGCTATGTATGCATTTTTGCAAAGGGTTGCATCGACCCACTTGCAGGAGTGCTCTCACCCTCCATGCACTTTTTGGGGGTGATGCATGTGTTTTTGCAAAGCATTGCATTGATCCAGGCATGGGAGACCTCTCCTCCCCCCCCCCTGCAATTTTGGGGGGTGATATATGCATTTTTGCAAAAGGTTGCATTGACCTGGGTGCAGGAGAGCACCCACCTCCCATGCACATTTTGGGGGGCAATGCATGCATTTTTGCAGAGTATTGCATCAACCCAGCAACAGGAGGACTCCCACCCCCAATGCATTTTTGGGGATGATGCATGCATTTTTGCAGAGCGTTGGTTGCAGCAACCTGGCTGCAGGAGCACTCCCACCCTGATGCAGTTTTTGGAGCAATGCATGCATTTTTGCAGAGCGTTGGTTGCAGCAACCTGGCTGCAGGAGCACTCCCACCCTGATGCAGTTTTTGGAGCAATGCATGCATTTTTGCAAAGCATTGCATCAACCTGGGAGCAGAAGTGCTCCCATCCCCCTGCAGTTTTGGGGGCAATGAATGCATTTTTGCAAAGCGTTGCATTGACCTGAGTGCAGGAGGGCTCCCACCCGCCCATGCACTTTTCAGGGTAATGCATGCATCTTTGCAATGGGTTATGCAAACAGCCTGCTTGCACCGTGCTTGGGCATCCCGGTGCTGGTGATGCATTTTGGGGGTGCTCAGCACAGCTCCGGGAGGGGGTTCTCCCTTTTTCTCCGGCCTCGGAGAACCAGGCAGCCTGCCCAGACTCGGTGCCCAACTGTGTCTCCCCACCCCAAGGTCTCCTGGCAGGGGTGAACATCACCAGCCCCACGCCGCTGGTCCGCGGCACGGCGGGCAAAGCGGCGCTGCTGTCGGTGCGCTACGCCAGCGCCAGCGCCGACAAGCCGGTGATCAAGTGGCAGCTGAAGCGTGACAAACCCGTCACCGTCGTCCAGTCCATCGGCACCGAGATCATCGGCAACCTACGGCCCGATTACCGTGACCGCATCAGGGTGCTAGAGAACGGCTCGTTGCTTATCAGCCCCTTGCAGTTGGCCGATGAAGGCGCTTACGAGGTGGAGGTGTCCATCACTGATGACACCTTCACTGGCGAGAAGACCATCAACCTCACCGTGGACAGTAAGAGCAAGAAGGACATCCAGTGGAGACTGTGTTCTCCATGGGATGTCTTCCCCCACCACTTTCTGGGAGGGCTTTCTCCAACTGGGAGGTGATTTGGGGGGTTCAACCACCCCATGCAGCCAAGCTACATCCCCAGTGGGGTTTTGATGTCCCCCTTCCCGTCCCCTGGGCCCATCAATCCCCCAAGACACAGCGTCACCATGATTCCCTTGCTTGCCCGCAGTCCCCGTCTCGAAGCCACAAGTGCTGGTGGCCTCCTCGACGGTGCTGGAGCTCAGCGAGTTCTTCACCCTCAACTGCTCACATGAGAATGGCACCAAACCCACCTACACCTGGCTGAAGGACGGGCGGCCGCTGAGCAATGACTCCCGCCTGCTCCTCTCCCCCGACCAGAAGATCCTCACCATCACCCGCGTCCTCATGGCTGATGATGACGTCTACAGCTGCCTGGTGGAGAACCCCATCAGCCACGGTCGCAGTGTCCCCGTGAAGCTCACCGTCTACCGTAAGCCACCTGTTCCCCCTCCCACACCCCCAGGGCTGGCCATCCATTGCAGATGCTCCCAGCTAAAATTTTGGAGGGGGGTTGTCCCCCCTCATTCCTCTCTTCCAGGCCGGAGTTCCCTCTACATCATCCTCTCCACGGGCGGCATCTTCCTCCTTGTCACCCTGGTGACTGTTTGCGCCTGCTGGAAACCCTCCAAGAAGTACGGCTGGGGGTAACGTGGGAGCCATAGGGGGATCCTCTTATCCTCTCCTGTCTTGTCCCATCCCGTCCCATCCCTTCTCATCTCTTCCCATCCTATCTTGTCCTGTCCCATCACATCCCACCTCATCCCATCCCATCCTGTCTTGACCTATCCTATCCCATCCCATCTCATCTTGTCCCATCCCATCTCATCTTGTTCTGTGTCATCTCGTCTTGTCTCGTCTCGTCTCATCTCATCTCACCCCATCCCATCCCATCCCATCCTGCTTTGATCCATGCCTCCTGTCCATCCCATCCCATCCCATCCCATCCCATCTCATCTCATTGCATCCCATCCCATCCCATCCCATCCATCTTGTCCCATCTTGTCCCATCCTGTTCCATCCCATCCCACTCCATCCCACCTCTCCCTCACCACAACACTGGGCCCTTCCCCGGCTGAGCCGCAGGCAGTCCCCCCACTGCCCCCACCTCAGTGCCGGTGCTGCCCCATCCACCATCCCTTCCCCAGGGAGAAACGGCAAGCGGAGACGCAACCAGCCTCCGAATACGCCGAGCAGGACGAGGAACGCCTGAAGCACGAGGGTGAGTGCCGGCCCCGGCGCGGCGGCGGCGGCGGGTTGGGGAACGCCAACGCCGCCGGTGCGGTAAGCAACACCTTGCCTCCACGCAGCCGAGGGCATCCCGCGAAGCGGCGAGCATGAGCGCAAAAACCCGGTGGCCTTGTACATCCTCAAGGACAAGGTGAGCGGCTGGTAGCGTGCCGGTAGCGCGCGGGCTTTGCACGGTGGCAGCAGGTCTCGCACGCTTCGCACGCTCGTCTACCCTTGGCTTTTGGCAGGACTCGCCGGAGGCAGAGGAGGATTCGCCCCCCGAACCCCGCAGCGTGGTCGAACCGGGTTACACCAGCTCACCGGTACCAGCAGCTGGTCGCTCGCCAGGACCGGTGGGGCGTTCGACTCGTCGTTACCATCGCTCGCCGGCTCGCTCGCCCGCCTCGACGCGGACGCACAGGTCACCGCCGGGTTCGCCGGCACGTTCCCGCGGCGCCCCGCGGCTGCTGCGGACTGCCGGCGTCCACGTCATCCGGGAGCAGGAGGAGGCCAACGCCGTGGAGATCAGCGCCTGAGCGAGGGGGACACGTGCGCGCTTCGGTGGCGGCGAGCGAGTGGGGACACCAGCGCGGCCCCGCTCCCGCCACCGGACATCGTTCAGCTCGGCGTAAAGTCACTAATTTGCTATTGATCCCACCCGGAGCTCCCCTCTTCCGTCCCCCGTCTTCCTGGGGCGTCGCTTTAATGGCTTTCTCGCCGGGACGAGCGTGCAGGGAGCGTGCGGAAGGCATGCGGGCGTGCTGGGAGAGAGCGTGCATGCAGAGTGCAGCGAGAGGGCATGCGCGGCGCACGCAGAGAGAGCAATCACAGAGTGTTCAAGAGGGCATGCACACAGCGTGCAGGGAAAGCATGCACGGAGCATGCAAGAGGCCACAGATGGAGCGTGCAGAGCGAGCGCGCGTGCACTGTGCGGGGAGAGTGTGCACGGAGCACCCAGATAGAGCATGCACAGAGGATGCAGAGAGAGCGAACAGAGAGCGTGCGCGCCGAGCGTGCAAGAGGGCATGTGCACAACGTGCAGAGAGAGTGTATGCAGTGGGTGCAGGGATGTCATGGACCGAGCGTGCGGAGAGACCGTGCATGAAGTGTGTGGAGAGAGCATGCACGGAGTGTGCAGACAGATCATGCACCAAGCATGCAAAAGAATGGGCCCAGGGCATGTGGACAGAGTGTGCCTGCAACATGCAGAGAGAACATGCACAGAGGGTGCAAGAGGGCATGCACAAGGGTGTGCAGAGAGAGCATGCATACAATGTGCAAAGAGAGCATGCACAGAGCGTGCAAGAGAGCGTGTGGAGGACATGGAGAGAACATGCACGGAGCCTGCAGCTAAGACTGCATGGATTGCGTGGAGAGCGTGCACATGGAGAATGTGGAGAGAGCGTGCATGGACTGTGCAGAGGGCGTGCATGGAACGTGCAGGTAAGACTCTGCATGGCATTCGTGAGAGAGCATTGGGAGTGCTCTGAGCATGCATGGAGTGTGCAGAGAGCATGAGTGTGCAAAGAGAGTCTGTGCAGAGCGTGCACAGAGCGTGTGGAGAGAGCGTGTGGTGAGAGCGTGCATGGAGTGTGAGAAAAGAGCATACATGAAGCTTGCAAGAGGGCATGCACGGAGCGTGCAAAGCGAGCATCCACACAGCATTTGCACAGGGCACGCATGGAGCACGCAGCGAGAGCAAGCATGGAGCACGCAGCGAGGGTGCAAAGAGCACGAGGAGAGAGTGTGCATGCAGTGCTTGCTGAGGGCATGCATGGAGCACGTGAAAAGAGCGTGCACGAAGCATGTGGCTAAGACTGTGCACGGAGCGTGCACGAGCGCGCGGGGAGCACGCACGCAGCACGCCGAGTGAGGACACACGCATTCGGTGTGTGCAAGAGCGCCGTGCCCACCCGCCGCAGCACACAGGCCCATGCACGCAGGAGCCCGGCGCTGCAGAGAGCGGGGGGGTGCGCTAGCATGCGAGCTCGCCCAAGCGCGCACACATGCAGGCAGCCTAAATGGGGGGCTCCCTCCTCCCCGCCCAGATCCCTGGCTGCACCGTCCCCTAAACGTGGGCTCGAACCCCTGGCCCGAGCACTGCCCCACTGCCGCGCCTGGATTTTCTGTGAAAATCCCCCGGTTTTGGGGCACCACCATCACCTCTCCCCCAGGCCTTCCCGGGAAATAGGTTTAGGATGAAAACCAGAGAGCGGCCAGCCAAGCAAGCCGGGCCCCAGGGCACCTGGGGTGGGTGCCGGGGCACCCCGAGGTGCTTGGGGTGCGCTACTAACCAATAAACTAAACATACTACCCGGCTAGCGGCGGCACCCTTGGGTGTCTTTGTGGGACAGGGTGCCCGCCTGGGGTGGGGGGGACGCATGAGAGGTGGGCGACAGCTGAGACCAGATGAGCTCAACGCACCTGGCTGGCGCTCAAATTTAAGCTTGCAGAGCCTGGGAGGCCCTGGACCGTTCACTCTGATCCCTACTGACGGCGCCCCCAGCCGAGAGCTCGTTTCTTCTTCATTCGTCTTCCTCTGAACGTGGGGGGGGGGGGGGGGGAATTTCTTTGGATTAATTAAATCCGTTAACTGCTGGCGTCCCCATCCCCACTGCCTCTGGGTGCTGCCAGTGCCACCGCGCCCGGTCGCTAACACTGCCACGGCTTGCCCGATCCGTTTGTGTCCACGCAACCCCCTCCCGCCTCCAGCACTTCCCGGCCCCCATGTCCGGCTATTGTCCCCTGCTATCCGGAGCCGAATCCGGTCCCTGTGCTGTCGGGGAGGGACCAGGATTTAGGGAGGAAGAGGGAAGGCTGGCCAGGGCTGGCATGGCGGGCGGCTGGGCGATGGCGCTGGGCTTGGGGCTCTGCCTCACCGCGCTGCGCCAGGGAGGTGAGTGCAGCCCCGGGGGGGGGCAAATTACCCTTAACTTTGCCCCTCCGTCCCCCCACCCCGGGGCTGAGACTGTGCCCGCTTGGTGCACCCACTAGCCTCTATGTCACCCCACAGGCTGCCACCCCCCCGGCGCAGCCACGGCACCCCAAATCACAGCTGGTAAGGACATTCAGTGGGGACAATGCGGGTGGGGGGGCTCCTAAAAAACCCTGCGCCCCCCCCCCCCACCCACAGTGTCCCCACCGCAGTGCTGCGGGACAATTTCCGCCTGCAGCCGGGTGATTTGGTGGCCACAGCGGGGCAAGTGTTGGAGCTGGATTGCGTCCCCCCCTTGGGGCACCCCGAACCCCGCGTGACCTGGAAGAAGGACGGGGTGACCTTGGACTTGGCGGGTGACAGGTATGTGGTCACCAACGGGAAGTTGCGGGTGGCACCGGCGCGACGGAGCGACTCCGGGCTCTACATCTGCGTGGCGGCCAACACGGCAGGCGAGAGGGAGAGCCGGGGTGCCCACGTCTCCGTCCTAGGTAAGCCAAGGGTCTCCCATGGGTGGTGGACATGTCACACCCAGCCTTGGTGCCATGTCCTCGCTGTCCCCCACGCAGAGAAGCCAACCATCGTGCGGCGCCCAAGCGACGCTGTAGCGGTGGCCGGCAGCACTGTGGAGCTGGGCTGCGGCGCCCAAGGTGACCCGGCGCCGCGGGTGCAGTGGCACAAGGAACGTGGGGACCTGCCCTGGGGCAGGTAGGTGGTGGCAGGGTGGAGGTGTCCCATCCCCGGGGCCCAGGGTGGGGATGGGGCTGATGGAGAGCTGGTGACCTGCAGGCATGAGGTGGACCGGGAGCACACGTTGCGCCTCTACGCCGTGACGCTTGCTGACGCCGGCACCTACGTGTGTACAGCGCAGAGCCAGCTGGGCACTGCCGCCGCCACTGCCCGCCTCCGCGTGGAAGGTCAGTGGTGGGACCTCCATGGGCTCCACCATCACGGACACCCAGGGCCATCTGGGGGTCCGTGCAAGGGGATCCGTCTAACAGGGTCCATCTAACGGGGTTCATCCAAGGAGGCCATCCAAGGGGAGTCCATCCATGGGGGTCCATGCAGGAAGGTCTATCCAAGAGGGTCCATCAAAAAAAGGTCCATCCTACTGAGTCATCTAAGGGGGTCCATTTCAAGGAGGGTCCATCAAAGGGGGTACTTCTGAATGGGGTCCATCTCAGGAGGTCCATCTAAAAGCATCCATTCAACAGGATCCATCCAAGCATGTCCATGTAAGGGGATCCATCTAAGGGGATGCATCCAGGTGGGGATCCATCCAAGGGGCTCCATTCAAGAGAGTCCATCTAAAGGGCATCCATCCAAGCAGGTTCCTCCAAGAAGATCCATTTAAGGGGGACTGTCCAAGGTGGGGGTCCATTAAAGGGGGATTGAACAAGAGGTATTCATCCAAAGGGTCCGTCTAGGGATACATCAATAGGGGTCTATCATGGGGTCCATCAAAGGGGATCCATCCAAGAAGTGTCCATCCAAGAGGTGTCCATCCAAGATAGATCCATCAAAAGGTGTCTGGCCAAGGAGGTCCATCCAAGTGGGTCCATCCAAGGGGTCCATTTGAGTGGGTCCATCCAGGGAGACATCAGGGTCTCCAGGCATGGGTATCTGAGGTGGGTGCCCTGGCAGGTGCCAGGGGACCTTGCTCCTGCCTGGCCCTGCCGTTAGCCTCCCTCTGCCCCATAGACCAGCTGTCGATGGACCGGCAGGAGGCTGCACCATGGGACCTGCTGGCCGTGCGGCTGCACCTGGACAATGGCACCATGCTGCCCACCGCCGCTGTCCGGCTCCACTGGCAGGTTGTTGTGATGCCGGGATCTCCCCACCAGAGGACAGGACGCGGGGATGAGGCTGGAGCCACATCCCCTGTGTCCCACCATGACTCGTAATCCTTCCTATCCCCTTCAGATGCTTATGCCAGCACCGGTGCCAGTGGGCTACATGGTGCTGTACCGCTGCTTGCTCCCTGCCAGCACCTCCTGGGTCCAACATGACGCAGGCAGGGAGCTCAGCGCCATCATCCCTGCACTCCGCAGGGGCTACAAGTACGAGTTCAAGGTCCGACCCTATGCTGGAGGGACCCAGGGCTTGGACAGCAACAGCAGGCACCTCTGGATACCCGAGGAAGGTGTGTTAGGTGTCCCCAGGGTTCCCCGGGTGGAGGGGTTGGCTGGTGGTTCCAGGGGGTCTCAGCACTTCTGTCTCGGCAGTGCCAAGCGCGGCGCCCCAGCACGTCACCGTGGGCCAGGCTGAGACAGGGAATGGCACCGTGGTCGTGAGCTGGGAGCCACCTCCTCCTGAGGCCCACAATGGCATCATCCGGGGCTACAAGGTTTGGGGTGATGGGGCAGGGGGGCAGGGCTGGTGGACTTCTGGCCAAGGAGGGTCCATCCAAGGGATCTGTCTAAGGGGAATATATCCAAGAAGGGAGCCTATCAAAGGTGGGGACCTATCCAAGTTGGCCATCCAAGGAGTGCCTGTCCAAGGGGGGATCCATCCAAGGGGTCCATCCAAGAGGGATCTTGACAAGGGGGTTCATCCAAAGGGGCCAACCAATGTGGAGATCCATCCCAGAGCATTCATCCTAGTGGATTCATCCAAGGGGACCCATCCGGGGGGGTCCAACTTAGGGACATTCATCCAAGGGGGTCCATGCAAAGGGGTCCATCCAAGGGGGATCCATCAGTGGAGGACCATCAAAGAGATTCATCTAAGGTGCCCCATCCTCTTGGTGCCTGCCAGGTCTGGTCAATGGGCGAGGGCTGGCAGCACACCACCAATAGGACAGTGGACGAAGGCACCCGACACCTGGAAACCCTCCTCCCAAGCCCTGGGGCCAAATTCTGTGTCCAGGTGGCGGCTTTCAATGGTGCAGGGCTGGGGGTTCCCAGCAATGTCACCTGCAGCGTCCTGGGTAGGAGACAGGGACCAAGGTGGGGTGGAGGTAGGGGTCAGGGTGGTGGCACAGGGGTGACACTGGTGGGACCCTTGCAGGGCTGACGGCAGGGAGCACCGGGGTGGAATGGGTGCTGCGGCAGCCCGCCGTCATTGCAGCTGCTGGCTCACTGCTCTGGTTGGCCTGGCTCGCCCTCCTCCTCCTCCTCTGCCAGCGCCTCAAAAGCCAGGACACCACACCTCACCGCAGGTGAGCAGCCGTGGGGTGGGGGACACGGGGACATCCCTGGCACGGTGGGGATGGGGCACCCTGATGGCACCCCTTGCCCTGCAGGCTGGTGGCTGGTGACTCGCCATGGCTCGGAGGCCCCTGGAAACCTGGCTGTGCCCCTGGAAACCTCAGCAGCAGCAGCAGCCTCAGCAACCGGCTCCTGGACAGTGACGGCAGGGACCCCCATCCCTCCAGTGAGCCCCAGGGGTGGGACCCCACCCGGTGCCATGGGACCCCCATCCATCCCAATGAGACCCCCACATGATGCCATGGGTCTCCCATCCGGTCCCCTGGGACCTCCACCCAGTTCCATGGGACCCCTCACCCATTGTCACGGGACCCCCACCCAGCGCCTGGGACCCTCACAGGGTGCTATGGGGCCAGCAAAGCATGCCCGATACCCCCATCCTATCGTGGGGACCCC